GAAAATTCTTATTTAAAAAGAATAAAAAACCTTACAAATATAGGAATAAACAATACCATAATTTTATTTTATAATCCATTTTCACAATTTTTTTTTACAAATTATAATTATAAAACGGAACGCTTCTCGTTTAAACAATAGCTCAACCTATTCGCTTGATGAAAAATATTAGCCATCCTAATTGTTTTAAATAATACCATAACCAATCCATCTCATTTTGATATAACATTTTTCAAAGTTGCCGCAAGTTATATCATCTGTCGGAAAAGTTTCCAAGCTTAATTTTCTTTTGGCTAAAATATCGAGTTAGCCTTTTATTTTTAAATCCTCATATTTTGAAATAGGAAAAATGTTGATTTTATAAATTATGTTAGTAATATTTTTTTTAGGTATTTCATTTTTTTTATTATAATTGCTTTCTTTAGAATTTTTGTTCAATCTTAAATTTGATTCAAATCTTCGAAATTCTAATAACTTTTTGGTTCATACTTAAAGGTGTGCTATTGTCTATTTCGCTTATTAAATCTAGTTTTTGTTTATTGATTGGAAAAACTGATTGATGGAATAGTAAGTACTAATCTGGCATTTCATAAGGTATGAGCTCACCTAAAAATATTTGTTTGTTTTCAATTTTATCTTATTTTGTCAGTAATGCGTTTTTCTATAAACTATCTACCAAACGAATTGAAGAATCAATGTAATAAATCAATTATTGATTTAAGTTCCAGATTTAATTCTTCCAGAAATTTGGTTGATTTTACGCTTTAATGCGTGATATAGATTTTATTGTCTTATAGCACGGTTACCTTTTTGTGTGTGAAAAAAATGACTGAAGAATTAATAAATATTAGCGCAAACCAGCTATTTCTCATTCTATTATGAATAATGCCAAATTTGACAATTTTTCTTATTTCGCTAATAAACTTTTTCTTTATACTGTCTATTAAACGATTTAAATTATAATTAATACGGATCGATAAAATTTTCGGAATAAATTATTTCAGTCGCTTAAATAATAGATTTGCCAAAATTTTGTTACTAATAGTTTTTTCCCTTTTTCTAGCTACTATACTCGTTTAAGTACTCAATTGGTTCTAATAAAGCAAGAAATATTGATATAATTTACAATTAGTTCGTAGAACTTTTCAGCCGCCAAATTTAACGGCGTTGATATTAAGATATATAAATCCTGTCTATGCCACACTGTTCTGATACACAAGTTGAAGCTTATAAAGAAATTACTCAAAATTATCAAACTATTGGTAATTATAGATATAAATATCTTAAACCTATGTTATTGAACGATACCATCAAGTTCGAATATTTTTAAAGAATTAAATAAAAATGTAAATATAGCCTAAAAAAAATGTAATGATATATTTTTAATTCAACATTCAAATGCTGCCTCAGAGATAAGTTTAATGAATATGACTAGACGAAAAAATCCTTCATCGGTCTCATTTGATTTATTAGAGGCCGAATTAATGGTAAAGCAGAATCTTGACATGAATTGCGAATTAAAATTTATTTTCATATATAATAAACTTTTAAATAAAATAAATTCCACTATAAATATGTAGATTTGCATCTAATTTTTATATATTTTGACTATAAATATGGATAATATTTAAATTTAAATTTATAAATTTGTAATTTGAAAAAAATTATTCATAAATATTTATATATAAAAGGTAATTGAGGCGTCGCGCTTAATCCCGCTTTTTATCCTTTTAATCATTAAAAATTCCACCTCACTCTTAGAATATGTCAGGTATGGCCGGGCCTAAAAAAATTTGCAATTTACAAAATGGGAAAATTGAATAAGACACCTATTTATTTTTTTTATATATTTAATCTCAGAATTAAAATCATAGCCACTTTTTATAATTATTTTTTATTATCCTTCATTTAAATACTCTTCTCAAAATTTAGAAAATGTTTTTACACCCCCCCCCCCCCCACCTTTGTCATGACCTAGATCTAAGGACTAATGTGATGATTTAGCGCTCAATTTTGAATTATCTCATATATGATATTTATGCCTATATAGAACTCTTATGCTGAAAGATAGGCATGTCCCTTTATCCAACAAAAAAAAGTGTAAAATATGTAAGAGTAAATAAATAAACACTTAACCCATTTTGCCCCAGTTTCCCGATATTGGAATATCTTTATTTTCTTGATTTGGAACATTTTCTATTTATTTTCAAAAAATCCTGATTTATTTTAATTCCATTTTATTAGAAAAATGAGTAAAAGTGCTAACAAATTGAGTAGAAGCGTTTAGCGGTGTTTTCATAAAAAACGCTGTTATTTAAATTAAACTTATGTTTAAAAAATGGTGAAAACTATTTGAGGTTTATTAATTTTTTTATATTGTTTAGTTAGACTTGTGAAATCAGCAAAAATAAAAAACTAAAATAACTGAAGATCAAATGATTTATTTTTATAATTTATTCTTCATAAACATTACAAATTTATCTAATCCAATAGAATATTATGAATTTTTTTTTGATTTATCATAACTTTGCAGTTATTATTATTTTTTAAAATGCGAAAAGAAGAAAAAGGAGAGGTCAAAATATTCAAATGAATTAGTTACTATTATATCAAAAAGTTATATCGATGTGCATTATCTAAAAATAATAATTAGGAGGTATTAATTATCAGTAAAATCTTCTATAATTTTTAAAAATAATCTGAGAACATCAAGTAAAAAATTCTTAGCTTTCAGTATTTTTTTTTAATCTAGATTGGGAAAAAAGTACAGAAAATTTACTTTAAATGAGATAAAGCCCACTTTAGAATTTTATGTTGGAGGGGGGGGGGTTAACTTATTCTGGTAAAAACTTAACCCAAAATGTCCCCTCCGTACTTACAACCATGAGTGAGTGAGACCAGAAAGACTAATATATTTTCTATCACATCAGATAAAGGTTACATGCTTACTAAATAAATAATACGTAATAAAATAATCTTAAAACATTCGCGTTTATGATTTAAGGAACTTCGGTTGGTAAATTGATATTGAATATGTCACATATGGAAATGTTAGAAAAGTTGGAACCTAAAAAAAATAAAATAAAAATATAATTAGTTACTAAAATCTGATACTAAATCTTTATTAAATACTAATAATTAACTATAATTAAATATAATTTGAAAACATAATCAAAATAATAGAAAAATAAAATTAATATAAAATAAAAGTAAAAATTATATGTAAAAGTCAAAAAATTAAAAAAGTCCTTTAAATTATAAAAATTATGTCTTTTATATCCGATTGTATAACATAGTAAATTTCGTCTGATTATAATCAACTTTAAATCATTATCCAAATATCTTTTCTTTGTATAATATAATACTCATTATTAACAATATACATATTCAAATTTTACATAAACTCTAAATATTCAATTTTATATTTAAAAAAAAAATTTTTTCCGTAAATATTCAAATTTATACACAAGATTTTAAATAAGTGCAAATCATAATAATGCAATCACAACAGAATATATCAATCATTTAAATAAATGAATTAACAATTTTCGCGGTCATGCGCTCGCTATAATAATTTCGTGTAAATACATTCGCGGTAGAAAATTCGCTATAAAGGGTTCGCGATTAAAGTTTCGCTATAACGAGTTCGCGATCAAAGTTTCGCTAAAATGTATTCGCTCTAAAGTATTCGCCATTTAGGTATCGCGGAAATAAATTCGCGATAATGAGTTCGCAAAATTATCTGCTCTAAAATATATTCTTTATGAAATAATCGCTGTTTAGGTTTCGCCGAAATAAATTCGCTATAACGAGTTCGCGATCAAAGTTTCACTATAAAGTATTCGCGGTTAAGGTTTCGCGGAAATAAATTCGCGATAATGAGTTCGCGATATTGTCTTCGCTAAAATGTAGCTATAAAGTATTTGCGATTAAGGTTTCGCAGAAATAAATTCGCGATAATGTCATCGCTATAAATGTTTCGCGGAAAAAAATTCGCGGAATTGGTTTCGCAATATTATCTTAGCTATAAATCATGCCCGAGGTAATTATATCAGAGAATTATTTTATCTAAAATTTTTTAGGTAAAAATTTTTCCTAATTCAATTATTTTATATTTTAAAATATTAAGTATTGTATATTTTCTATTTATTATAAATTTCAGTATGTAAGAACGAAGCCAATATTTAATTTAAATTATATTATTTACAATAATTATTTTCCTAATAACAATTTTCTCTTTTTAAATTAATTAAGCAAAAATTTACTCTATTGTAACGCGAAAGTTTAAAATTTGGAAGCATTATATTTTTAATGAATTTGAAAATAACAGGTAAATATGTTGATCTCAGAAAATATGAGAAAACGGTTTTAATTTCAAAATGAAATAGCATTTTCAAAATTTTGACGTATCTAACAAATAATTATGTAATACAAGCCAAAGGCTTTTGTTTACAATAAAAGGTACAACAATGATTGGACGAGAAAAGTTTTTTTGTATTACACTAATCCAGTCAATATATATATGTTCAAATCTGACTTTTATTTTTAAACTTATTTATTATTTTATTTTATTGTATTTACATAACCAAATTAAACCAACCCAGCGGAAAAACGGTTTGATATAGAGAATCCTTTAAAGAACTAGGTGATAATTTTTCAATTGTATATTCTAATTTTTCTTTTTATAAATAGGAAGGATATATCAAAATTTCTCCATCCTTTTCACGTGTATGTTTTTATATTAGCAATATATTATTAAAATATTACATCTGTCGATCGTTTATAAAGCACTTTAACATTTTTAAATACAAAAAAAACAAAAATTCACCTCTTTAGAAAATTAATAAGATATGATTGAAAGTTTATTAATTTAAATATTAATATAATTATACTTAAACACTTAGTATTTTACATTTCGTGAGATCAATAAAGCTTTTTAATTTATTAATTAGTTCTATGGCAACTAAAATTTTATGAATGAAATATATTCAGAAAATTAAATGGGAGGCGCTTCATTGCACCACGTTCAAATTTGTTGCAAAGACGGATTGAAAGTAACCTCGAAGTTGATGAAACAATTGAAACTTAAGCTCTGGGCCACCAAAATAACTAAAACATGCTATCAGTGGGTGCTAAAGAGTCATCAGCTAATTTTTATAGTGATCCAACGTCAGAGCTCAAATGAAAGTCCTAGTGATTTTTTGGTAAAACAGAAGAGAAAAGGCATGACAAATAATGATTATGACATTGACCAATTCGTTCTGAATGAGAACCCCTTAGATGATAAGTGTGTCGAGGAGTGGGACGATTTCACAGTTTTCTGCTGCAACAATCCGAGTTATCATTTAAATGGTGGGGCTGATTCGGTTTTCAACATAGCTCTGCGAGTCGATAACCTTATAGAAATTTTGGGCCGCTGTTGTCATTTCGAAGTCAATTCTACCCAAAATAATTTTTTAAATATCAACATTCCCCAAGAAATATCGTCATATATTGATGGAAGTAACGATGTTAGATCAGATAGTTTGATGAGCAGGAAAGAAGAGGACTTATATGATGGCCAATCTCTGAATTCTCAATTTAATAATATGGCTTGTATCATACAACCTGTGACAGAGATTAGCGATGAATTTGGATGCATAAAATACGCTATAATTAGATCTTGCGTGGGAAACGTGTTGCATACTCTCATAGATGATTCAGAGTATCGAGGTCCTTTCCTGCCCAATTACATGATGAGGCACCTTCCAAACAAAAAGTTAATATTTTACTATCCAATTTGAGATTTTTACAAATAAATAAAAATCTTGGAATCTATAAGTTTGTTGCTATTATAAGATAGTTTAGAAATATTTGATCAGATATATTATTTAAAAAGGAACTAAGATAGGATTTGGCATAAACTAGCTAAGGTATTGTTAGATATTTTAATTTTATGTTCTGTTCCGCAAGTTTAATAAATATCTATTGTTTCTTTGACCCTTGAGGGGTAAAATGGAATGGTCTTGCCCCACCTCAGAGCTTTAAAAAAAATTTATTTCAAAAGAATTGTAGATTAATTTGTAGTGATCCAGGATATGCAAAGTAGAGGCCTGTGGGCAGGTTTTAATCCGAACGCCCATCCACTGTTTTAATAAAATTTTATCTCTTTCCCGCCCATGGTTTTTTTTAAAATTCACTTGCAACCTTCCCATTTATCTTAAATTTCTAACCTACCTGCTAAATATTCAACAATTATTTTATTTTAATATATCTAAAATTCACCTGCCCATCGCCGGTCCATTGTTTCATAATATTTTATCCCATCTGCAAACGCCCGCCCATGATGTGGGCGAGCGATAGCGAATTGACAGACCTCGAATGCAGTTGACATATCTCCTCATTATTTTTTAAAAAATCCGGGCCGGGCCGTGCAAGTGGTACCTCTGTATGTCTCCAGATTTTATTATGAATCTTTGACCTATTTTCAGTTTGTTAATTTCTGTTTATAGATTTTTCATATAAATTTAAAAAATAAACAAAATTTTTTGGCCAAAGTCTGAAATTCATAGGATAGGTACAATCTAGTCTTTCAAAATAAAAAACACAAATTTGCTATATAAATCCCGGGTCAGTATGGCCCTGAATTTGCTAAACCCTTACAACATATCTATTCATCTAAGCATTAAAAATATCAAATCATAATATAAAAATGAGATAAAACAATACCAAAATGGGAGTAACCTAGACATCTAATTACTTGCATTTTTTTCTTAACCTCGTGAGCGTTAATAACTATATAAATAACGAATATATTAATATTATATAAATATGTGTAATGAATTATTACAAGAAATTTCTTTTTCAGAACCATTCCAGCAAAAAACTATGAATTAGAATCATCTGAAAATCTCAATGAAAATCAAACAGAAAATATGAAATTTCAACAGGTGTCAATAAATTTGTTTACCAAAATTGATCACGTGGCAATTGCTTGTCACACTGGACAATACAGTTCTATTATTTCCTGGTACAGTTACTGTTTGGACTTTCACCGTTTTAAGTTAAACAGGTTTTTTTTAAAATTCCTTTATATATTATTCTAAATGCCTTTATAAATTTTTTATGAAAATCTCATGGTTAATTAAGCTACAATATTCCTATTAGCACCATGCACGAGGTTGATCTATTAATAATTAAATATAATTTTTAAACCCATCTTGCCTGGTCCGCATTAATAAAACATTGAGAGGAAATTATATTAAAAAGAAATTATTAATAAGATTACCCAAATGGATGGAGTAAAATCTTAAAAATTATTAATCGTAAATTTTTGAAAAAATTTAATTAAAAAATCTTATTTGACAAAAATAAGCAAAGAATCAAACGAAGAAGGTTTTGTCATCAAAAATGATCAAGATTTAGGTGTAAGGCTGTTGGCCATGGAATACTGGAAATGTCGCGAACACAGTATTTTATCTTCGGCCCTTGGGAAAGTTAATAGATTTTCCAAAAAATCTTTACCTTTTCATTTAGTTCTGGCGGAATCATTGATGCCCAACGGTTAGCGAACCCTAAAATAATTTTTTTAAAATCGATAACAAAGTACATATATTAAGGTGTTAATTAAAGAGTATTTATAATTTTGTCGATGATTTCTTAAATGGTTTGAAGTAGCTTTACTAACTAGAGAAGGGAGTTTTTTATATTATTTTTTTATCAATTTAAAGAATAATAATTTATTATATCCCCTAAAATCATGTATTTTTATATCATTTGATATTTTCCAGTTTCGGATCAAATAAGTTCCTTTATATCGGCTCACGGTGGACCGGGTATACAACACATCGCCTTGTCTTGTCCAGACATTTTTACCACGAGAAATATTTTGACTGAAAGTGGTTTGGAATTTTTGGTTACTCCCGAAACATATTACAAAGATGTAACAGAAAAAAATTATAAAGAAAATATAACAATATAAATTTCATAAGTCATAATTCATTTTTATTATAATCAAATTTTGTCGATAAGAGCTCTATATGTTCAGCCAGACATCCTAGTCTACAAGATCCTATATATTTTTTTTATATTTAAGATTGGTTGATGACAAGATTGGAAAGTGCTTCTAAAATTTCCAAATTATAAGTAGATTTTTTATTCTAACCACCAATAAAATGCTAATCTTTAAAAAAATCTAACAAACTTTAAGGATGTTATTGTGAAAAGAATAAAAGATATTGAGATAGATTGGGCCAAAATTTATGGAACTGGAATATTGATTGACACCGATGATAACCCCGTAGACATAAATAACAATGAAATAATCGATTCTGATAAAAGGTAATCCATATTTATTTTAAAAAGTAAATAAATCAAATTCATTTTATTTTTATCTAAGAATTTTAGAGGAAAGTTGTTAAATCACATCTTGATGTCATTTTTTAAAAAAAATTAAAGAACTTTACCTAAACAAATGTTATAAAAAATGTTAAACATTAATTGAAATTTTTAAAAAGTAAGGATGGATCAACCGATATCGGGTTTTAGCATCTGTCAGCGCATTTTTTTGTTATGGATTTAATATCTGAATTGCACACATTTATTATTAAATTTATCTTACCAAATAAAATTTGACTTGCCTGACCCCTATGTTTATATATTTCATTTAAAGAAATAATAAATCTACACCCCTATTACATGATTATTTTCCTTAATTTTTTGAATTTCCAAAATAACCAGGTATTTGCTCCAAATCTTTAGCAAACCAATTTTCCAGGAAGGTACCTTCTTTTTGGAACTCATAGAAAGACACAAAACAGATGGATTTGGAGCTGGAAATATTCCAGCCCTATGGCGAGCTGTTAAAAGACACATGGAAAACAACGACAAAATATTAACATTTTAGATAATTTTATTTCATACTAACACTATTTTATTTATTTGGGTATTTATATACTACTCGCTTGTAATATTTTTAATTATTAAATCATTATATTCAAGGAATTTGATCAAGAGCATTTTATATCTTTTACTAAAGTAACCAAAATTTGTGATAGATAAAGATACTTTAAATTCTTTGTTATTTTATGAATTATATTATTATATATTGTTATATTTAACCATATTAAAATTTAAAAAAACTCGGTTAAATTTAGTAAATTTTATATAAATTTCAATTCCTACTTTTGTTTAATACAGAGTATCTGAAAGACCAGATGTAAATTTAGGATATATATCATTAGCAAGATTTCAATTTGGAAATAACTTTTCAAAATTATTTCGGTAAGTTGAACAATCAATCCTAATTATAGGCTTAATTGGGCGGCACAAAGACCCACTCCAAAAATTCGCTTGTTCTCGTAAATATCATTTTAAACTAATAACCTCCCCCCTCCCCCTTACTCCAAAAACGTATACATTATATCACTATTTGAAAGAAAAATACGTAAAGGTTGATCATTTAGTTAAGATATGTACTGTAATTCAAAATTTAGTAAAACATCGTTATAAAAAAAGTGATAACTTAGAATTATTTTTATATAAACTGGAACCAGAACCATTAGAATTATTTAAGTCAAGGAATTTTTGGTGTATAGTTCAAATCTCAAGATATTTTGAAGAATATGATAAGAAAATACATACCAGCATTCCCACTCTCCTCGATGTTATCATTCTTTGACCAATATATTCTAAACAGGAATTTTATAAAAATAATAACTTTATATCATTTATTCAAAAAACATTAATATCAATTATTTAACATATTTAATTATAAAAACTGTCATTTTATATAGTTATAAGCCTATTCAAAAACGTATGCGTATCTAATAATTGTCTGTTTTTATTCGAACAAAACGAATTACTATTTGTATTTGTTACTAATCGAACCGGATCCAATTATTTGAAACAAAATAAAAACTCGATTCGCCTTTGAATAAGCCTAAAATATAATGAGACAAAATATATTTAAAGATATCATTTAAATTAATATTTATTGGGTTTAAAAATCAGATTTTATCTAATCATAAAGTTTTTATAGGATATGCAGATTTTTTAACATATTCTGCTCTACCTTATTATTATGAAGGAAATCATTTTATAAGGATTTATAATTTAAAAAAAATATATTTAGAAAATATAATTTATAGTTAATAAACAGGGACAAGAGTTCCGTGAAATATGTTCATCAGGCTCCTCAAACTTAGGTTCGGCTACCAAACCCTTCTTTGCGTACCTGCGGTTAGTATTGTTGAAAAGCCCGATTTGGGTCGATTTTAAAAAGCGGTCCGATTAAGATTTTAGCCAAAATAATATTATGTAATCCTCGAATGGAAATCCAAATCTTTCTGCCATTTATGAACAAAATCTCCTGGCTTAGATAATATTATTTTGGCCAAAATCTTTATTGGGACGTTTTTAAAAATCGGCCTAAATCAGGTTTTTTAACAACACGATCTGCGGCTCCTTCCGCATATGATATGAAGCCGGTTTTGTTTCATTTTGATGTGTAGAATGTGTTAATAAAATAATAAGAATAATAAATATTATAAATAGATTATACCTTATTTTTTATATGATATATTTTGATTTTTCATCATTTTATTTTTTCTAAAAGATAAAAGAAGGAAATTATAATTATAAAATGATTTAATGCTAAAAGAATTATATTTATCTAAAATAAACCGTAAAATTTCGTAAGAATGCTATTTAAATAAAATATTAATATATTTGTTTAAATGGGTGTTAATTATTTAAAAATTTAACACTAATATAAAAAAAAGAAATAAGGTGTTGATCCATTTTTAAAATTGGTGCTAATTTTGAAAAATGGGATGCTTTACCACTAGTATTGTTAAAAGGCCCGATTAAGATTTTAGCCAAAATAATATGATCTCGAGATTTGTCAAATAAAGGTCTAAATCTTTTTGACTTCTATGAGCTAAACAATATTTACAGGCTTATAAAATATTGTCTTGGCTAAAATCTTAATCGGGCCATCAATAAAAATCGACTCAAATCAGGTCGTTTAACAATACTAACCATCCTAAAAAGCATCTAGCTAAGCGAGCTCCAGCTGCTACTTAAGCTTGTATTTATCTAGCATTATCCAATATCAAGAGCAGCATATACATGATAGAATATTCACTGGAAGCAAACCTCCCTCATAAACCTATACCTACTCACAACCCCCCCCCCTCTCCAAAAAAAATTTCCTGGCGATATTTTTATTATATATTACACCTTTTTTAATTATAATGGTCCTCCATTCATAAATTTTAAAAAGAATAAATTATTAATGCTCTACTTGTAATATATTATTATTAGTGAACGAATTTATTATATTTTAACTATTATATTTTTGTACTTCAGTTTATATATATCTTTTACAAATCATAAATACATAATTTAATCATCATACACAATGAATATTTGAATACAATTAATCGTATTATCAATTGCCTTTAAGGTTAATTGATTCTATTACATAAATTCTCTCCTTTTTAGGATCTCGATTTGGAACGGTATAAATTGTTTTCTTATCCGTTTTGGATAACGGCTACTTGTACTTTCGTTCACTACTGTAGGTGAGTACTGTCAATTTCAATCTTTTCATTTATGATGGTGTTTTTGTTTATCCAGTCTTGTATAGGATCATTATCTTTGGTTATCGAGTATTTTATAGGATCCATGTCTTTATCCCTGGGGGGGGGGGGGGGGTTAAAAATTTTGGGGAGGCTTCGCCCCCAAACTCTATTTTTAAATTTTGGCAATATTATGTGCTTTATTAGTGTCTAACCACTATAATAGCCAGCATAAAAAACAATATTAGTAACAGAATTTTGGCCAAATATGAGCTGAAAGCATTATTCTAAAAATTTTATCAATGTTTAGTCAATTGCAAATTAATTTATCTGTAGAAAGAGAAAAAAATTGCCCCCCCCCCCTCCCAAACCTTCCATTTTTTATTATCACTCAATATATCTTATTGAGTGTTAAAAATAAATATTAGATTTTATTTATTAAAATACTTTAGCAAAAATATCATCCCTTATTAAACTATGCATTTATTTTAAAATGATAATATACAATAAAATAAATTTCAAAATGTAGAAATTATATACAGATTATTATATTAAAAATTTTAAACTATATTTAAAATAAATATAATCAATAAAATATAAGTAATTCTTGTACGTTATTTAAAATAAATATAATTTAACAGTTATAATTAATACAAATGAATCAAAATATAAATAATTCTTATTGCAAATGCAATACTGTTATTAAAAATAGCATAATATAAAAAATATATAAATATTATGAGTAAGAATTCATTATAATTAAGTTTTGCATATAAAAATTTTATGACTAAGAATATATTATAATCATATAGCAGTTTTATGATTTGAATTTATAAAGAGAGGTCTACTTTTCTCTGAGATTTGGCTAATTCATTTAGAATCAAATTTTTATCTAAAATAATCTCCTTATAAATATTTAATAGGGGTAATCCATTTAAACGGTTTTCACCGGTGCTATTTCTTATATAGGTTTTAACCTTTTCAAAGTTGAAAAAGACCTTTCATTAATGTAGGTACTAATCGGTAAAGAGCTATCTCCTTTACATTCTTATATTTCATGAAATTTTTCATCCATCTTATCTCTGATATTTGTTAATATCTCAACAATATCCTTTGCCCTATCATAACCTCCCTTAAATCCAAGTCAATTTTTTTGTAGCATTTTGCTAAAATCATATGTATAATTAAATAAAAAATATACACATTTAATTGATATTAAAAATTGTCCCTTACTGCTATAGATAATTGCTCTATGTTACCAACATCCGAAGTCTCATCGCCAAAATATTAAAAAATGGTGATGCTTTCACTTTTGTAGAAATCTTTCAATATGAACCTATTGCATATGGCTCTTATTTTATTTTGAATACTTGGACTAAGGTAGGTGGCATTTTTAGCAGAGCTTTCAGAAAGCTTTATATGTATTTATCATTATTATTGCATAAAATTTTCAACAATTCCTTGAAATTCCCTTCATTATGAGAAGAATATGTAATTGTTAAGGGACCAGCAGATATTTTATAAACTCTTAATGCTAAGCCCTGCCTCCCTAACCAAATGATTGCATCAATTATTACATTTATTCTTGCTCTGTTGGTTGTAACAATATCAAATTTTATTTTATTCAATACATTAGATATTGATATCTTTTGATTCATAGAGATGGCTTTTAAAGCATCCGACATCTCGCAAGAATTGAGATATTTATTTTGTTGATGATAATTAAAATTTTCAAGAGCATCTTTCCATCTTGTATATATTTGACTTTCCAATGTTCTGAGTTTTTGTAACCCGTTTCCAGCATATCTTGGTGAAAAAATGATGCACACTTTACAAAAAGCTCCCTTTTAATAAACTTAGTAAGCGCCACTTATATTTGTTAAGCCACGATGCTTGAAATGTTAAATTTCTTTTATCCAAGGACAATTTGGAAATTTATAACATTTGTCAGGTATCCAAATATTTTTAATAGCTTATCATTTTTAATATGAAAATTTAAGTATAATGAAACATCTTTTTGATGAGGACAGTGTTTTTCTATATTTTTTTTAGATTTTAAAAATTATATGTTTCAATATGAATTTTAGAGTTCAGATCTGAGGAGCACAACAAGAAAAGAACAAGGGCGGAATGCCGATCCTACGGCCTTGCGGGCAAATATTTTCTAGCGGCCTCATTTTTATTGTGGCTAAGGGCGTTTTTATTATTTCTTATATTTTTGGACAAAAATGTCAATACGATAGGTTAGACACAATTTTATTAAATTTTTATTTAAAAAAGACTCATATAAATGAGAATCCCACATTTATTTAAAGAATTGCAC